CTCAAATTTAAAAAAAAAAAAAAAAAAAAAAAAAAGGAGGTGTGCAGAGAGCCGAGCTGGGGAGAAGCCACGAGCTCCACCTTCGGTGCTCAATGAAATGATGAGACCGACCAAGGACCCTGTCTGCTCTCAGCCTTCCCAGCTTCCCTGCAGGAAGAGCTCTTCTGTGCTTCTGGAGGAGACCTGTGCCACGCCTCCTGAGCCTCAGGAGGACCTTGGATGGGGAAGACCAGCAGACATCTGAGAGAGGTTCCAATGTTACAAACATACAGTTTCACCGACAGTGACAAACAAGGCAGAGACGAGAGGCTTTGAGGAGAAAATACCGTCTCTTACATCACGGAGTGTCCCGAAGATTCTGGCAGGGACAGAGGCAGCCAGCTGCGTGACATGAGCAGGAGGAGACAGGGAAAGAGCAACCTTGCAGGTGGCTGGGGGGGGGGTCAGCAACTGCCGAAGAAACCCCAGCCAGGATCTGTGGCGGTTTTTCCCAAGGAGGAGGGAGCGGCATCTCTCCAAGATGCGCCTGGTGGTACACATTTGTAATCTCAGCACTCCAGAGGCTGAAGCGGGAAATCACGGTGAGTTCAAAGCCAGCCTGGGCTACCTAGTGAATGTGAGGCCAGTGTAAACTAAATAACAAGGCCCTGCCTGAAATCTCTCCCAAAAAAAGAGAAGAGGAGGCTAAGGTTCAGAGAGATAATGCTGGCTAGTCCAGTTCTGACCAGTGGGACTCGTGGAACTGAAATTTGCCCTCAGTTAGACAGATCCCAGAACCCCAGCTCCTGCCTACCAGGGAAAATGCTTAACCAGGCCAGAGATATCGACGAGGCAGGATATCAGCGGTGCCCTGACTCCAACACAGACCCCAGGCAGAGAATGTCTGTTTCACTCAGGCCCTCCACACACTGAGGTGGCCCCAGGACAGATGTGCTGGGTGAAGGAGTGACCGGCAGTCATGGTTGGGCTGCGTGCCCATCTGATGTACGCGGATGTACACCACACAGAAACCGTTCATCCAGCAACACCCCCGGAGACCCTGCTGGGTGTCAGATCCTGTGTGAGAGAATGACTCAGAAAGCCCTGCCCTCTTGAACCTTACATTCAAGTGGAGAAAGCCTACTGAAAAATCCTTATATTGTATCCATTTAATATCAGGTTCTAATCAGTATGTTGGAGAAAGTCTCTGAGTAACACAATTTAATTCACATTTGTTCAAGAAAGCTAAGAAATTGACAGAAAGAGATAATTACAGAATAAGGCCATTTCTGAGCAGCATTATTGAGATGTAACAGTTCACCATTTAGGTATACAAATCTTTAGCTTTTAGTATGTTCATGCTATCTAATTTCAGGACTATTTCAGCCCCTTAAGAAATACCTTTAAAGCAGTAATTCCCTGATTATTTCCCTCCTTCCACTGGCTCTTAGCAACCACTAATTTGCTTTCTGTTTCTATGGATTTGCCTATACTGAACATTGAGTATAAATGGAACCATACAAGTAAATAAACAAATAAACTGCCAGAAAAGTAGAACTATAAGGAAACTTCTCCAAACCGGTTTTTTAAAAAATGTAGTAAAAACCTATGCCTTACCTTTAATTGATGCTGAACAGTTGAATATTTTCACCCTAACCTCAAGAATAAGGCAAGGATGTTCACCCTCACCCTAGAGAACTGAAAATCTACGTCCAGCCAAAACCTGTACACAAAGCTCATAGCAGCGTTTATTCGTGATGGTTAAAAATCAGAAGCAACCCAATGTGTTTCAGTGGGTAAAAGTTAGACAAAACGTGTCATGCACATAAAATGGAAGCTACTAAGTAATAGGAGTAAATTACCAACACGACTGCTTGGAGGAATTGAAATGCATTAAGCTAAGGACAGAAGCAGACACAGAAGACTGCATTCAATTCATTTATCCGACACTCTAGAACAGCAAAGCAGTAGAGTGAGGACAGACCCGTGGCTACCACGCATTAGGTTAGAGGGAGGCTTAGGTTAGAGCAAGGATTTGAGGTTCAACTGCCTGTGTCGCTGTGTGCCAGTTCACAACTCCACAAACTTGTCAGAACTTATACACCAAAATAATTAAATTTCCTTCATGTAAGTGTATATAAAATGTTTGTAAACGATAACCACACACACACCCACACACACACACACACACACACACACACACACACTTCTGGGCCATCTTCCCACAAGTAGTCTTATAGATTGTCTTAGTCGTTTGCTCACACTGCACTGAATCTATAATTTACAGAGAAATGACACATTTTCAACAGTCTTTGTGCCCAGGAACTAGCCATCTTTACACTCTTGAGTGTACAGGATCTCCAATTTTTTTCGCTTTGGGTCTTGCATATTTTTGGCACCATTTCTCCTAGCTTTTTTTAAAAATTGTTTTGCTGTAATTTTTGTATTTGGTCGCTGTTATGAATGAAATCTTCCCACTTCAATGCTCATCTTTTTCGGTTTAAAGGGAACAGATTTCTGATCGCTTGCTTTATAACTAGCCCCACCTGGACCTGCCCTTACCATTGTGAATGTCAGTTACTAAGAAAACGGAGCTACATTGGCTTACATCATCCACATGGTGACTTCTCCCCTGTCTTTGTCAGACTTCCCCTTTCTAAGTCCGATGACTAACATTTCGGAAACAATGATAAGCAATCTTACTCTATTTTCTAAGTTTCACCCACAAATAAGAGGTAAAACAGTTGTTCAGTTTTTGTTCTCAGCCCTCAATCTTCCCAACCTAAACATAGACCTCTATACTGTTAACACAACAGTCTTCCTTCCACTGACACTGACCGGCTTGGCAACAATGAACATTCGGAGAGGGGAAAGCACCCACATACCCAGTCCTGTCACTCTAACCAGGTAGCTGTGTGCGCTCTCTGCTGCTCTCTACACTTTGTACACTTTTTTACACCCTGTACACTTTTTATTTAGGATGTAGTTGTAATCCCAAAATATCTGTTGAAAGGCCACCAGCACTTGGACTTTACATCAAAACTTTGTGCCCCCAGGGCCCTGCTGGCATGTTTTCCACCCTAGATATCAGGGACGAAGGCAGGTGGCATGGCCACAGGAAAGAATTGTAGCCCACGCTACAATTTTCTTGGTAACAGAAAGGAATTATAGGAGTGACCAGGAAAGGAGGGAAAGAGAAACAAACAACAACTGGGCATTGGGAGCTAGTTTTCCGTTCCCTCAAGCTCCCCAAAGATGACATGGTTCCAGGAAAGAAGAACAGAAACAGCTTGGCAGCATTGCCTGGTCCCAACCAAACGATTAAGATATCAAGTCCGGGAGAGCCGTCCCCAGCTCCTCCCTGCACTGGACCGACTATGTGACCTTGGAAAGATCAACCTCCTTTAGTAAGAAAAGCAAGCTGAGCACTCGGGACACTGCCAGCTCTAACTCTGCATGTCTTGTTTCTTCAGAAAAGCAGAGCAACTGGGATGGGGTTCAGCCATCAGAGCAAGAAAACTGAGAAGCAGTTCCATGAGACGCGAGACCATAAAATCACATGCTCTTAGGATGGGAAGGAGTGTAGGGTGACCTAACATAAATTCCCACTCTGCAGGAATCCCCTCAGTAACATCTTGACAGACTTTTGAGTTGTTCTGGTGATAAAAATTTTGCTATTTCATCAGGCGGCTTTTAAACAGTTTAAAATATTTAGGAAACTTTTTAATTGAGATGAGATCAGTTCCTACTCAACATTCAAAAATTGAAATAAGAAACATTAGGCACAGCGGCATACAACTGTAGTCCCTATAGAAGACTGAGGCAGTAGGATCTCTTGAGCCTAGGAATCTGAGGCCAGTGGGGGGGGCATTTAAAAATAGATTTGGGGTTGGTAATGCTAGCTCAGTAGTGGAATACATACTTTGGTAGAGTACATACTTGGCATGCTTGAGGGGTTGGTTCAATAGCCAACACTGCGTTTTTTTTTTTTTTTTTTTTTTTTTTTTTTTTTTTGTACTAGGGAGCGAACTCAGGTCTTTCACTTTGTGAGGCAGGTGGAAGAACCCCTGAGCTAAATCCCAGGCCTGACCCTGCAAAATCTTTTTAAAATAGAAAATGCGGGCCAGGGATTTAGCTCAGTGGTTCCGCTGCCTGCCTCGCAAGCACAAGGACCCGAGTTTGATCCCTGGTACCAAAAAAAAAAAAAAACCCTTAAAGAAAATGCAACAGGCTCTTGCATGTACTAACACAGAATGTAGCTTTTCTATCCAACACATAGCCATCTACCTTTTCTTTGACAGCTATGAATTCATCAGCTTTGGGTGAATTACAGCCATGTTTATAAAAGAATTCCTTTAAGTACAGCATAGCCAAAGGGATTTAGGTAAGAAAATGTATCCTTGGAAATTCTATTAATAAGTGGCAGGCCTGTAGCCCCAGATTACAGCCCAAAAGACCTATTGCACTTGTTGTTTAACTTAAAAAAAACGACCTTTAAAATGCTAGGTAAATTCTCAGGCTAATCCAAAAGAAAGCATTAGTAAGTCTACAATGTAATCTTCTCATCATTCTATTAAACAAAATAGAGGGAGGTGAGCAGGAAGGACAAGGGCTGTGCTCATTTTCTTATGCTGTTACAACAAATTGCCAAAAACGTAGTGGCCTAAAACAACACACATTTATCCTCTCTAAATTCTGTAGATCCCGTGTACAACACGGGTCCCACATCCACCAGCGTGCCAGGGGGGCTGAGTTCATTCACAAGGATCCAGGGGAAAATCTGTTCCTTTGCCTTTCCCAGCTTCCAGGCACCATGGTTTGGACATGGCTTCAGGGTGCCTTCACGGGTCGTGAGCTGGGAACTTGACACCCTACGTGGTTGTTGAAAGGTGGTGGGACCTTTATGGGGCGGGACCTAGTGGGAGGAGATTAGGGAATGTAGGAGGGAGTGCGATCTTCTCAGAGAGCAGGAGGTTCTGCATCCCACCCCTCTACTTCCCGTCTCTACCGGAAGTGTCCCGAGGCCTCTTCCCCTCCCTGCAGCCTGTCCGCCACGTTGTTCGCCGGGACCGTGTGCCTGCTGTTTGCTCCTTCCAACCACAGGATGGTGAGCGATTTCTTCTAAAGTACCGAGCCTCAGTTCCATTTTACTACAGCGATACGGGGCATCCCTTGGCCCTTGGCCAGCAGCCTCTCCATCCTCAGACCCCACCGTCTCTGAAGGCGCTGGGCACACCCGCCCTGTCCATTGATGAGGGTCCTGGCCGTGTACCAAGCCACCTGGCCAGTCTAGGCAGCCTCTGCCAGGGTCTTGCTGACGAGCACCCTTCCCTTTGCCTCCCTCACGGGCGGGGGACGCAGCTGTGGTTACTTCGGGGACCATGGACCTGCCTACAGCATTGACACAGCTGCGAACCCTTGAGGCTAGGCGAGCACAGGCTGTGCTGTTGAGATTGGAGGGCCCAGGAGGCCCTCAAAACGCCCTGCTGGGGCGGCAGTCCTGCCTTCCAATTGTTCGGCAGCGCCCACTCTTTCACCGTACCGTCCTCGCCTCTGCCTGTTGAAGGACTTTGTGGGAGCTTTCTTTTCATCAGCGAAATGAAAGGGGGACTGGATTCTCTTGAAGTAAACAGACAAGATTGGCAGGAAATTAAGAAAGAGGGAGTCTGAAAGTGTGCTTCTAAGAAAGCGGCAGCAAGGGAAGCCTGAAGAAAGGCGGAGGACTGAGACCTGTGTGTTCTGGACAGGAGGTCGTCGGAACGCTGCCCTGAAGCTCCCACCCTGTGCTCGACATTCGTTTTGTAGGAGAGGATATTGTACTGAGCTCAGGTCACAGTGGAAGGTGCCCCAAGGTTTCGCATTCCTTTCCTGTGTGTGCAGAGCAGAGTTCAGACTGGGCCACCGCTGAGAAACGACTTAAAAATTGTAAGTAGCTTCGGATCTAAATGATCCGATGATTAAGAAAACTCGCCATACAAGGACATGAAACCTCTAATGAAAAAAGTGGCAGAACGTGTATTTCTTTCAGATGCCAGCCTTGTGTGTTTTCTGCAGCTTATTATGTAGTGCCGGGAGGGAACCCAGGGATTCACATAGATGTGCTCCACGACTGAGCTACACACTACCTTCCTTCCCACAGGTCTTAATGGGCAGTTCTAGAATAGTGGTTTTAGCTTTGCCAATCTGGATATCCTTCATAGTTTTGGGAGCCAAAATAGTATTTTTCTTATGAATAATGGTGCCACTGGGTAGGGTTTTTGAGGGGAGGAGTTTAGTGATCTTATAACGAAGCATCAGTTGTCCCTCACACACAGTTTCTTTTCCTACTGGTCTTGGAACCCTCAAAGTGTGGAAAGTTTTGGTCCCCACATTGCTCATTTGGGCACGTCATAAATATGTCATACACGACAGCAGAACACAATAGGAGAGCACCTGTATTTTTCTGTGCATATTGTAGACTAAATGGAATATGCAAATATGAAAACAATGTTTACAGTGATAAAAATGTAAGTACTTTTAAAACTTTTTTTGCATTATTATTTGTATTCTTAGCTACATTTGGCGCTGTTGTTTTCTAAAAAGTAAGGTATATCTTTTTCTAGTAAAATCAGAATCCAATCTGGCAATAGACCCCCATATACATGGTGCCAAGACACTTAAGTAAGGAATCATCTTTTCTATAAATGATATTAGATACTATATTGGGTGTCTGTATGGAAAAAATGAATCACAACTCTTCTTTCATACAAGAAAATTAACTCAAAATTGGCCTAAAACACATTTAAGAGCTAGAACTATAAAACTGCTTGAAAAAGAAGAAGATGCCAGGGATTTGGCTCAGTGGTTCCACCACCTGCCTTGCAAGCACAGCACAAGGGCCCAAGTTCGATCCCTGGTACCAAAAAAAAAAAAAAGAGAGAGAGAGAGAGAGAGAGAGAGAGAGAGAAAATTTATATGACCTTGGATTAAGCAAAACACTGCTTAAATAGAACGTACACACACAAATACAAGCTATTGAGGAAATACCCGATAAGACATCCTAAACGTTTAAAATTTTGCTCTTCAGATGATACTGTGAAGGAGTTTAAAAGACAAGCCAAAAAAATAAAATTGCAAAACATACCTGACAAGCGCTAATATGCTGAACATATCAAGAACTCTTGCGTGCACCTGCCTGGCAAATGCAAGGTCCTGAATTTGATCCCCGGTACTGCCCCTCCCCCAAAAAAAAGGAATTCTTGCCGATTTGATACAGAAAACAAACCACTTTTTAAGATGGTCAGATGAGCTGGGCGTGGTGGCACACACCTGTAATCCCAGCACAAGGGAGGCTGAGGCAGGAGGTTGCTGTGAGTTCAAGGCCAGCCTGGGCTATGTAATGAGTTCCAGGTCAGTCCCAACTACATAGTGAGACCCTGTCTCAAAAAATAAAACATAAATAAAATGGTCAAATGATCTGAACAGACACTTCAGAGATACACCAGTCGCAAACAAGCACAAGAGGACATCATTTGGTTATTAGGTAAACACAAATTAAAACCATGAGGTTTTAAAAATTGATGATCCCAAGGGCTGGTGAGGATGAACAATAACTGAACCTTTTATATGTTGCTGGTGGGAGAAGAGTTAGTGCAGCTGCTTTGGAAAATAATTTGATAAATCCTTGAGGAGTAATACCACATGACCCAGCAATTCCACTTATAGGTATTTACCCAGAGAAATAGGACTCCTAGAGAACAGAAAGCATATGTCCATGTTAATACCTATAGACAAATGTTTATAGCTGCTTTATTAAAATGCTAAAACCAAGAGACAATACATATTTCCTTCAACTGCTGAGAGATAAACTGTGGTGCGATACAAGGATCTAGTCACCTATAGAAGCAAAATATGGATGACTCTTAATTTTTTTTTTTTTTTTTTTGGTACTGGGGATCGAACTCAGGTCCTTGTGCTTGCAAGCCAAGCTCTGGAACCACTGAGCTAAATCCGCAGCCCTTAATATGGATGATTCTTGAAAGCATCATACCAAATTTTAAAGTCAAACCTAGAAAACTACGCGGCAAGATTTATTTTACGTTGCGGTTATTTAAAGGGCCCAGCTACAGTGACAGAAGACCAGAGGTTGCCAAAGAGTGGGGCTAGAGGGAGAGATTAACTACAAAAGGATGCAAGGAGCTTTTGGGGTGATGGAAACGTTCTGTGCCATGATCTGGTGGTTATGCATATCCACACATTTGTTGAAACTTACCAAATTGTATAGTTAAAATTGATGCCATATCTGTGTGTGGTCACTCAGAGACTGTCAGTGGGGAAATAAGGTTTCAGTTTTGTTTTGTCAAAGGATTCCTCTAAATCTAAGTGAACGAGAACAAAACATTCTGCAGAATTTTCAGAGTTTTCCTGAAGCCTCCCTCAACCCCACACTCCTGTTCCAACCTTGGTTGCTCCTCCAGAACAGAAGCTGAGACTCGGTTTCACTTATCAGAGGGTTTTGATCACATGCTCAAAAAGGTTGTTCTCTGCCACAATGTCAGCGTGTACTTTCCAAGTGGTGTGCTCAGATGACCAACCGGTAGCCCCTGTCATCTGTGTACTGCCCTTCATCCTTTCCTTTCAGATGGTACCTGGCTAAAATTTTCACAAAGGGCAGTCTTGGAGAAAGAGAGATCTTCCATGGGTGAGGAGGGAATATCTTAGCCAGGTAAACAGCTTGGATTCAGTTTTGCAGGAGTCCTCACTCAGCCTTGGAAATAGCGTGATGTACCCCAAAAACAGGTCTGCCTCCTCGTTCCAGTTGCTCACCCCAGGTCAGTAGGAAGTAGTTACTGTCAACACACCACCTCTCTGATCTCAGTGAAGACATTTAAGACTTAACTTACTCTTCATAGAAATGCCCACATCCAATGAGTACTTTGCCCTGAGCTTCCTTGAACAGCTAATTGAAGCTCAAAAAGATAAGTGGAGCTTTTCCACTGCAGAAGTTCCAAGTGGAATGGGGGTTTTCAGCAAAGCCTGTTGGGGATCCCTTGTCCTCCCAACCTTAGTCCTTGGAGTTGCATCAGGGCTTCTGGAGGTACCTTAGTGCTGTCCTTGTCTGTGCCTTGGTCATTCTTCATGGTGAGAACTATCCTGTGTGTGGTATGGAATTCCCCACACACTGGATACCAGCAGCAGTCCATGGTTGTGACAACCAAAATTGTCTCCACATGTTGGCAAGTGTCTTTATGGGATAAAAATCACCTCTTATTAAGACCTACTGATTTATATTTCTTCCTTTCCCTTCAGTTTCTTTTAAATCTTCCCCTCTGCTTCCTTTGAAAGGAAGCTTATATGTAGGGGCTGCCCATTCACAGTGGGCCTAGCGAGGGCCTGGATCCAGACACAGCCTCTCTGTACTCCGTGCTGACACCCACTTCCTCCTGTCCAGCATCTGCCTTCCAGGTACTGCTGGCGGTCATATTAACGTAGGGGCAGTCTTGCAGGAAATACATTGCAGTTTACCTGTGCTCCATTGCGAATGTTCTGGATGTTCTGACTGTCCACTTCTACCTCCTAAGCTGCTGCCCTCGGTTCACAGGAGTAGAAAAGGAAGACGACAGTTCCCACAGTTTTGCCAGCCTTGCAGTTACCAAGCCTGGGGGAAAACCATTCATACCTCTCTACAGTGGTGCCCATTAGCTGGACGCAGAAAGGGACCTCCCTGTTCACTCTCACCACAAACACCTGCACGCCTCCCACACTCCCACCAGCAATAGGGTATCTCTTCCTACGCCTCTTCTCTCCTAAGCTGCGGACTCACATTCTTTCAACTTTTAAGACTCCAGCACCTCCTTGATCGTGTCACGTTTCACCAAGAAAAAGAAAAACACCCGGAAGGGAAGAAAGCACGGCCTCTCTAAAGCCAGAGCTACTCAAACGTGGGGACAGTAGTCTGCCTGGAAACAAGGTCTTCCTAGAGGCGTTCCTTCCCCATCCACAAGGTGGCCTGCCGCCTGCCCACAGCACACGGTCACGTACAGAAACCACAAATATCAATGTGTTATCCACGTTGGATGGAAAGCCCCTGGGGTTAACATATGGTGTCAGTATTTCTTTCTCTTTCGCTGGATGCATGCATGCAGTTTTCCACAAGTGGAAGGAAAGGATAAGAGGAGAACAATGTTTGGTTTGAGAACTCACCCAACATTGCTTTTAAGTCCTAGGAATACAGTGGTGAGCGAGTGGAATTTCTAAGACACCTGGATATGAAATGTACACACAGGGTGACAAATTGTGCAGCTCGGGCGCAGGGCAGGAGAAGAGGGAGATGGAGAGACTGCAAGATGATACAGTTAAGGATCCTGAGATGGACAAATTATCCTGGAGTATCCAGGTGATCCAGAGTCATCGCAGGGTCCATGTGAGGCATGAAAGCTCACAGCAGGGATGTGATATCAGAGATGTGACCGTTGAAGTCAGCGCAGAGAGAGCTGTGAAGCTCCTATTTCTGGTGGCTGGAAAGCGGAGGAAGGAGACATAGGCAAGGGATACGGGAGCCTCTGGTAACCAGAAAAGGTGGATTCAGTTCTGGAGCCTCCTGAAGGAACCAGCCCTGCCATGCCTTGCTGTTAGTCCAGTGAGACTCACATCGGAATTCCAACCGCCTGAACCCTGAGAGAATGTGTGCTGTTTTAAGGCAACTGCGTTTATGGCGGTTCGGACTAAACGACTTCCGCTCTGATCCATTCCTTGAGCAATGAAACTGAAAAAGGAAAATCTCATAATCGTGCGAGGCAGCAAAATGACATATACTAAGGGCCGAGTCGCATGTACAAATAGTAAACACATTGACGGTTAAGGAGTCTTCCTCACCAGCAAGAATTCAGCAGGGAATGTCCCAGGCTGTAGAACACAAAACTCTGGAACTAAAAGAAGCATAAAAG